TTAATTATACCCGTGCATGAGCACGGGAAAATCACCTAGTTACGTATAATTTGGTTTTACAATATTACGTGTTTTTAATTTTAATTTTTATAAAACTCATTCCGCGAGATCATAGGATTTAATGTTTTTTCCAAATACAATTTTTTAGAAATTGTTGATCAACAAAAAGGAAGGAAACGAAATTGTGTTTTGCGAAGAAATTTAACTTTCTAAAAGAAAAAAAAAACGAACATTTTAAAAGCATTTATTTCACAATATATTATTGCCCAAGCATAACATTTCCAAAAGCATTTGTTTCACAATATACTATTGCCCACTTAACTCACATGGGTTTTAGGGTTACCTTAAATATATGGATATAAACGACCCATATATATAAGGTGTTTCACTTCTTCATCCAAGCTCCATCACCACTTCTCTTGACTTTACTTTCTCTCTTATTGTCATCTCGTGGGATCTCTATCCCATCGTCGTGATGGTGCTCTCCCATGCGGCCTCGGATTCGGACGTCTCCGTCCACTCCACATTCGCGTCACGATACGTCCGAACTTCACTTCCTAGGTAACATACAACTAAACAATATAACAATCTTGATCATGATATATGTATGTACGCTCCATTATAATGGTTGGTAAAACGTAAAATATCAGGTTTAGGATGCCGGAAAACTCGATTCCAAAAGAAGCTGCGTACCAGATCATTAATGACGAGCTTATGCTTGATGGTAATCCTAGGCTAAACTTGGCCTCCTTCGTGACCACATGGATGGAGCCTGAGTGTGATAAGCTCATCATGGCCTCAATTAACAAGAACTACGTCGACATGGACGAGTACCCTGTGACCACCGAACTCCAGGTTTGTGCTTTAACCAATATATAGAAATCTTTCTCGTTTCAAAACTGAGATTAAAATAGACTTATATATTGGATTATATGTGGACCGAGTTTAATTTCCTGGATTTTGAAAAACAGTTTCTAATGATATTGTCATATATATAATATGGTCCAGTTATTATATATGGGGTACTTTTATTGCTGTTTTTGGAGTTCTGATATTCCATTACTAGTTAGTACTATAGAATGCTACATGGTGACATGTTACGTTATTTTTCAGTAATCAATCTTTTTGTTACTATTGATAAAAACAGAACCGATGTGTGAACATGATTGCACATCTGTTCAACGCTCCGTTAGGAGAGACGGAGACAGCCGTCGGAGTAGGAACTGTCGGATCATCGGAGGCCATAATGTTGGCTGGTTTGGCCTTCAAGCGTAAATGGCAGAACAAGCGTAGAGCCGAAGGCAAACCATTCGATAAACCCAACATTGTCACTGGAGCCAACGTTCAAGTAATTAATTAATGATTCTTCAAGTTTAATAATCATAATTAAGTTTGTGTGTTTTAATCAATTTGCTTACAATAATGAATCAAAAAAAATGTTTAGGTGTGCTGGGAGAAATTTGCTAGGTACTTTGAGGTTGAGCTTAAGGAAGTAAAACTAAGAGAAGGATACTATGTTATGGACCCGGAGCAAGCTGTTGAGATGGTCGATGAGAACACTATATGTGTTGCGGCCATTCTTGGTTCCACTCTTAATGGAGAATTCGAAGATGTCAAACTCTTGAACGATCTCTTGGTCCAGAAAAACAAAGAAACTGGGTAAGTATATGACTTTCATTATCTCAAGGGATTGTTACAAGTAATTGAACTAATATATTCATGTTTTTGGATAGACTGGATATACCGATCCATGTGGATGCAGCAAGTGGAGGATTCATAGCACCGTTTTTGTATCCAGAACTGGAATGGGACTTTAGACTGCCACAAGTGAAGAGTATAAATGTGAGTGGTCACAAGTATGGACTTGTGTACGCAGGGATTGGTTGGGTGGTTTGGAGAAACAAAGAGGATTTGCCTGATGAACTCATCTTCCATATCAACTACCTTGGTGCTGACCAACCCACTTTCACACTTAACTTCTCTAAAGGTAAACTTACTTTGATATTGATGTCTCAACTTTTCTTAAACACCTTTTCAGTGTTTTAGTAGCTCCACAAATCTTGTGCCAAAAAAAAAATTAGCTCCATAATCTATAAATTATTTTCATTTTTCTTTATATATTTTTTTGTTGATGTTATTCATTGTTGAACGCAGGTTCGAGTACAATCATCGCTCAATACTACCAGCTGATCCGTTTGGGGCATGAGGTGAGCCACGAATATTGATTTAATAAATCATGCTTATTAGTTAAAACATTTCTAAATAACAAAAAATTTATCAAACAGGGTTACAGAAATGTGATGGAGAATTGCAGAGAAAACATGATTGTGTTAAGGGAAGGACTTGAGAAGACGGGAAGGTTCAACATCGTATCAAAGGACGAGGGGATTCCACTTGTTGCTTTCTCCTTGAAAGATAACAGCTCTCACACTGAGTTCGAAATCTCCGAAATGCTTCGCAGGTTAGCTCTCTTGCAAATTATCTCAAATATTGCTTTTCATTTAAAAGCAAGCATTGCATGCATTAAGTTACAAAAAAAAAAAAAAGCATTGCATGCATTATGATTGATGCATATGAGTAAATACATAATTTGACCTTATTTACCTGACTATGATGATGTAGGTATGGGTGGATAGTGCCGGCATATACAATGCCAGCAAACGCAGAACACATAACTGTTCTTCGTGTTGTCATCAGAGAAGATTTTTCAAGAACACTGGCAGAGAGACTTGTGATGGATATTGAGCAAGTGATGCATGAGCTTGATGAGCTTCCATCGCGAGTGATCCACAAAATTTCACTAGGAGAGGTTAAGAGTGAAGATAACGGCGACAACATGGTGGTTACTGTGAAGAAAAGTGATATCGAGAAGCCGAAAGAGATCAATGTCAAGAAGAAGTCTGACAAACCCATATTTTGCTGATGTTAGACCCTCCCTTCGTAGGTCGACTGGTTTTTGATTTCGTTTTTATTTTTCATTGCATTGGTTTTAAAATTTTGAAAGACATCATTTATCTATTTTATTGAATTGTTTTTGAATTTTATTAAGTGTGGTTATGTTTTAGTAATCACACATTTAGATTTTTGACGTTAAAATAAAGTTACTTTCTCATTTCATTAAACTATTTTTAGTTTCTTAATTTTTTCATGATTATAACTCTTACAAAACATTTTATATACTTGAGATACCTTTCTCTCTAAAAGTCTCAGAGGTGGTGACCGTCAGCATAACTTCCTGTATTATGCAGATTCCATTTTAATTTCTAAATACATTTATATTCCAATTTTTGAGTGTATTAACTGATCCATTCAACATATTAATAACTGCCCAGGATTAGTATTTACTTGCTGGTATAGATATAAAATGATAAAATAATATTTGAAAATTGCCGAAATTAATTTATTTTTCTTCGAAATTAAATTTTGGAAGAGTCCAATCTCATAATGTCTAGAAGGCATTTGAAGAAACTGTGGTTTATTCTATGTTATACTTTATAGAGATATTCTGTCGACTAAATAATAGAGAAAACGAATTATATATATACTTTTTTTAATAACGTGGGATCTAAATAACCAAGATCAACCGACTAATCCAGGAAGCCCACAACAACCATATATTCTTACTATTTAAGACAGTTCAGATTGCCAACGGGAATCGGCGAACTGCAGATTTACCGTATTGGGGTTATCTTTTAAGTGTCACTAGCCCAACTTCGTTGGTTAAAAAAGTAGTTAACTAGCTCCTAATCCGTGCGCCTGCATGGATGATATTTTTTTTTCAATCTTTTATTTATTTTTCTCATTCAAGTGTGTTACATAATTTCACATGTTTGAACATAATATGAGTTTCATATTATAATATGTACAAAACATATTTTTGATTTATATGAAGATTCTATTATTTTGTGTTTATAATAAGCGAATATATTATGTGCTACTCTATAAGTTATATCAAAATGTGTTGTCAAAAAAAAAAGTTAAGTCAAAATGTTTATTTATATACTAAATAATATTTAGCAAAAGAATCAATTAATTTTTCAGTAATGAAATCTATATTAATATAGTGAACTAAATGTTTTTATAGAATTTAAGAATCATTGTTAGTAAAGAGAATTCGACCAAAAAAATACGAACTTTGTACGAACTGCCAAAAGAAACATGTACTCGAGCCTGGCCAAAAGAAACATGTACTTTTGTTGACTTTGTTAGTTTATTAAAAACTTACGATTGATTCACCATTTTGACACACCGTTAACGAGCTGTTAAGACTGTGTTAACTCGACGTTAAATATATGCGTTTTACGTGATTTTACAATAAAAACAAGTAGACCCTTGGATTCGAACTTATGCTGATTGGATCAAATGGCAAGGTATTTTATCACTAGAGTAGTGGCACTATTGTTGGCTTTGTTAAGTTATAGACAAAAAAAAATATAAAAAGAATGTACTACACATAAGAGAGTTCTCCCTAAAAAAAATCTCTCAAATCCGAGGTGTGCCGTTTCAGATGGATCTCCACAGCCTCAGCTCCATCGCTCCTCCAACCTCCTTTTGAAGAAGCTCTGCTCCTCCTCCATGGCCCTGATAGTGACTGCCTATCCTTCGTCGCGTTTCAGACCTTCTCTAGATCCTCCGAAGTTCGAGTCTCTTTGCTTGAGCCTCTCTCTCCGTTATCTCCAGCGGAACCTCCAGACCCTCCAGGCGCCACTTATCTCCTTGTTCATGTTCGAATCCTCAAGATCTCCACCAAAACCTCTCCCCAAAATTTTACCCAAACCCTCGTTCTGATCATTGCTTGTTCGACGATGGTGACAAAGTTCAGTGGTGGTGGTGCTCCTCTTGTGTCCTTTGGTGGCACTTCTTTCGCCCATGGGCGGTTTTTTCCTATTTTGTGCAGATCTCATTGTTGAGGCGTGGGCGGGTCTTCTCTCAGATCCCATATATCTCGACCTTTCTGTTTCGTCTCCTCCTCGTATGGCCCGGCAGGTTCATCCTTGATTCCCGGTTATCTTTGCTCTGTTGAATGGGTCGGAATGCAAGTTATGTGGATGAAATTGGACTTTAAGACTTTGGTTTTAGTTGATGATTTACTGATGGATAGAGTTTCCTTCAGTCCTTGTGCTCTTAGTGGCATCTATGTTGTTTCCGTGCGATTTCTTACTGCAGTATGCAGTTTCTTTGTGGTATCCAGTCTAGCTCTTGGTTCTGGGATTTTGTTTTTCTCTTCTTGGTGACAGTTGGAAGAGCTTCATTGGCATATTTCATTTTTTGATTATGGTGTTGACAGATATTGTATTTTCGGTTATCTCATGTTTGGAGCAGATTTTATTCCCAATAGTTTCTCCTGTATGGAATGAATTGGCTCAAGCCTTGTTGGTACTGCAAGGATCTTCCTCCCAACGAATCCCCCTCTATGCTTTTGGTGTAGTGATTTTGATCCTGTAGATTACACTAGATACAACTTTTCAAGAACCTTATGAAATTGTTATGCGAGTTTTATGTTTTTTTTGTGAGTTATATCAATTCTATCTCATGTTTACCAGTTTCTTATTGTTGTTGGCCTTATATGGCTTTGTTTTATCCTCCTTTAATAGATCTTTAACTCGTCTAAGTTAAATGCAAGTTGGTTTGATCAAAGAAAAAAGAAGAAAGAGTATTACTGATGTGAGAAAGAGAGAAAACATAGTGAGTTTGTCAACGTCCCAAGCATTGTTTTAGCTTCCCCACCAGTATGTATCGTAATTTAATTATATCACTACATTTAGTAAAAGTTAAAACGCTAAATTACCATTTTCATATCTGTAAATGTGTATATCGACAGAGGAATATTAGTCTATAAACTAAAGAATTACAAAGAAACTGGAGAGATTATTTTTAGATATTGGAAGAACTCATCCTTGGAAGATTATCTTGCCTACGCCTCCATGGAATCACATGCTTTAACCCTTTGTAAACCCTTGCCTGCTTTTTTATTATGCAATCAAAATGTGCCAAAACTATTAGTTTCTTTTCAACCACAAAAATGTATAGTTAAAAACTTAAAATCCCAACAGAGCAACCAATCACAAGACCAGGATATTTTAGGAAAGTGGATACTTTTTTTGGAAAGTGAATGAGAAAAAAAACTTTTTGCTCCTAAAAGAACATTTTATTCAAATCACACATTAGTAGAAAATTGGTTTTGAACAAGTAGTTATCAAATCAATCTCCAATCACGTGAACCACAATTAAACAACTGAAACTATATTTTTAGAACAAAATACGTAACGCTAAGACTGAAAGTGGTTGAAAACGTACCAAGAACTGCGATTTGGAATGAGAAAGATTCAGAAGACTTCCTTTTCTTCTAACTCTACTTATCTTCACCGTTGTGCCGCCCTCATCGCAGCAGCGACCGTTCGTGGAACGTGAAAAGTCAAATCTACACTCAGTGTCTTTCTCGCTTCTCCTTGTCAACGACAGTGAGCGGCGTTGTAAAACGTTGTAAGGACCATCAAGAACTGTTGTCGGAGATCGATCATTCACGACTGGTGGCAAAACCAGTCTCGGTGGAAGCTCAAGGCACCGCACGGCGTTCTCCTTGGACAAAGGCGGTTTGTTCTCATCGGAAACGCGTGGCTTTCCCGGAGCTTCCTCCCATATAAACGGGACTGATCCGGCGATGTTTACAGGAGGCGTCGCTAGGCCAGGAGTCTCACAAGATGTTCTGTTTAACGGAATCGAGAAGAGAGGCAGTTTAGGAGTCGCACAGAACCGTTCTTGATCATCATCACAAACAGACTCCATAGCTATTTTCTTCTTTTGGATATGAACTTTCTTTGACGTTATATAATTAAATAAAGAGTTGATTTAAATAGAGAAAAGGGTATGTTAGAATTATATTAACGGAAGAAAAGGAAAAGTAAGGTAGAATAATGTGAGAAATAGTGTATTTTACTATTTTTTGTAAAGTCGTAGAAGAGGAAATGAAACAAAACGCTCCTTGTGCTTTTGTGGCGCTTCTTGTTCACGAGAGAGATACATAGAAGAGGAAAATAAATATATTAAAAGAAGAGGGTCCTACAAACGATTTTCATAACGTTAGATCTTTTTAAATTCCATGTCAAGACTTTATTGCCTATAAGCTGCGATAGTGGTAAGTGGTGACAATAAATGCTAGATAGTTGTTGACAAAAAAAAAAGTAGACAAAAAAAATGCTAGATAGTTATATATGTATTCTGAAGAAGTCTTGTTCGTCGGCAGAACAAAAAATTGTCTTCTTCTAGTTCTATCAATTATACAAGTTATTTAGTCTTCAAACTAAACATATGTAGGCCATCAATAGGTGTATCCTAAAATATACGAGACATGGAGCGTAGCGAATCATTGTTTAGTGAAAGCCACTAACTGAGATAACGGTGTTTGGTTAGTTTATTTATGGGAATCTAATTAATTGAATAATAATGTTTTACGTTAAATAACGGATGCGCAGCCTGTAACTAGTTTGTGTTGTGATGGATCTATACGTGGAGCGAAATATTGGTGAGACAACGAGGAACGTGATGCGTTGAAAATTCAAAGGCTGCTTTTTGTCGTTGCATGAGCTATTTATGTGTGAGTGGTGAAATGATGCATGTTTAAGCAGACAGAGAATAAATATTAGGCGCATCATATTATCCTTGTGACTTGTGAGCCCTTGCAAGTTTTGACATTTCATGCATATCTTAACGTTGCTGAACTTCTCCAAAACGGTCTTCGGAGTTTTGCCAAAAACAAGTAGCGGTTTGAGTTCCAGTTCACATTTCAACATATAACACCAAGATCAGAGGCGGTCCTAGTATTTTTGAGGCTGCAAGCATAACAAGTAAAATGTGGCCAAAATATATTTTTGTAACAAGGAGCATTCGAACCCCACCCTTAATGAAATGAACAAAGCTTTTTCAACCACTTGACTACAGAGTGTTTTTGTTGATTTTGTGGCCGGTTAAAACCTTATATTTTTGCGGCTGGAAGCACATGCTTCATCCGCTTATAGCAAGGGCCGGCTCTGACCAAGATACAACAGCGAATTGTCTTCAAAAAAACATATATGCATGACCATGACTATATATAGTCCATGCATGGCCTACTTAGCAGGACTTTGAGCCTTTGAGGTGATGTATATGTTTTTTTCTTTTGACATCCAGTTGAATATATGCATTTGAATGTGTTTTCATATTAACTGTATGTGATGTGCTCCGTGAAATCGCAGTCAAGGTTTGGATTTCCTTAAATAGACTGAGAAAAATCTTCATACTTGAAAGTTTCCTTGCAAATATTAGATTTTTAAATGGCTGTATATGATATCCTTTTACAAGTACATATTTATACAATATACTTTAGAAGTACATATTTATACAATATACTTTCTGGTAAGTGAAATTTGAAGCTGGTGTGTAGTTCGCTCAAAAGAGCTGGTGTGTATCCTGTTAAGTTTTGTATTTCTTGTTTTGTTTGGACACGGAATCAAAATTTCAGGAGTTGGTGTATCTGCAAATAAACAGACAAAAAGAGTAAACATTTTGTAAGTCAATATGATAAAATTTGGAAAGAGAATACGTTGTCCTCGTATCAATGTTTATATATATAATCACTGATACAATACAAGATGTTGCATTGTTGCTTACAAGGAAGCCACTTGCGTCGGTATCCGGTAGTAGGGTTCTTCTCCTCATACTCTTCTAATAAAATTACAGAATATGAAGTTTGAAGTATATCCACGTTTGGGATAAAAAATGGTCTGACGAGTAGTAAAATGCAAAAAGAGATGAAACAGGACAACATTAAAACCGAAAAGAACATCTGTGGAATAGCTATAAGATGTTTATATGTTAGATCTCAGTGGATACATATACTGAATTTATTTTATTAAGGAATACTTGTATGCAAACTTGTAGGTTTAAGCGGAAACGTTCAATGAATTTAAAGTATACTATGCATACTAAACTTCTTGTTCAAAACATGAAAATAAGTTGTTTCCACAGGTTTTACGGCAATGAACGCTCTAAGAAAGATTTGGTCATGTTGAACACGCCATTCAAGTACGGGGTAATCGGCAGTTCAGCCGCAAAACTTTTGTTGAAAAATATTCCAGTTCTCTATAGTATCTTTCAATTTTCACATAGATAGCACGTGACATATACATTTGTTATCAATCATATATAATATAACAGATTACGATATCAGCTAATTTGACTGGAACCGACGAGTACTGGAACTTATGTTGATCGTGTCAGCTAACAGGGCATGGAAATTCCCAAACCATTTAAAACTTAAGGGCTAAGTTCTCACTTTATACATTTGAAACCAAGAACTATATAAATTTTACCATTTTTTTCCAAAACAATTATCAAGACTTCACTTTAAAATTACTTCTGTTATATGAAATGCAGATTTCTAAATTGTTAGTAACAAATTTATCTGACAACTGCAGCTATGGGTTTTAGAAATGTTGGTTTAAAAGTGTTGCTATGTAAGGATTAAATGTGTATATCTTGAACTCCTTAAACCTAACATAATCAAGTAATAATAATGTAACTGGATCTGGCTACATCCATCTTTCGTCTCAACCACACAACACACCTGAAGAAATTGACATCCAAGAAAACGAAAGATACATTACTTTTACAAACACTATATTTTCTTTTGCATCATGAAGAAAAACTTCAAAAAGCCACACACAATAGTAAACATCATCACAAAGGTGTAAAGCCAGCATGTAACCCTGGAAACAACACCTTGGATTTAAAAAAAAAAGAAAAATATCTTTGTAATAGCATAAAACAAGAAGCTCTGCTTTTGTAATGATAGATAGTATCTTCTACCCTTGGATGCATTGTAACCCTTGACAAACCCAAAGCCAGATTCCAAACAGAACAACACAGATACATACATCAAACATCAAGACAACCCACACATGTTTCTTCCAAATCTGCTTTGCCTTTTGTCTATGATGATGATCATGAATCAATCCGTTTCTTGGTAATCCCCTGCTACTAATCACACCTCCTCCTCCTCCTCCCACATCCATCTCCGTCTGTACCCTCTTCTTATTCTTCTTCAACACCATCAATGGCTTTGCCAGAAGCGGCTTCAACGCGCGTTCTTTCGATGAATCAAGACTCGGTTTCTTGATCTCCAAATCCTTATTGTTATTACCACTACCAACGATCTCGACAAAAACAGGATCGAGTTTTGATTGGAGACAGAGTTGTGTCGGGTTCTCCAACGCAGATCCGTCTGAAATTACATCCTCCATAGCTGTTTTCAAGCAGCTGAAGAGCCAGAGAGACTCTGGTTTTGTTACAGCTTCGTCTAAAACGGCGAAATACGTAAACAAACCGTCTATGATCGAAGCGTATGTCCTCTTACGGACAGTGTGAGAGATCATGGAATGATGAGGAGGTATGTTTTGGATGCATCGCAAAGCAAGAGCTTCGATCTCTGGCTCGTCCTTGGAAGAGAACTCGGCGAGAATCACTGTTCCTTTTGCAATGCAAGAGTAGAACAAGAGACGTGGATTAGAGATCATATCTACCGATCCGAGAAATAAAAAAAAGGAGCAGTGATTCTTTTTAGAGATCCATCTTCTTCTTTTTTCGTTTTCAAGATTTTCTTGGGAAGTAACAAGAATGGTGGGGAAGTACCATTATTGGTGAAATCAACAAGAAGAGATTAAAAGAAACAGTAATTTACCGCAAAAAGATAACAGAATAACAGATTAAATTTTTACATTGGTGAAAGGACCCTCGTAATTTTAATTATTTATAAATATAGACCTAGCTTCGTGTAATGAAAATGTGACATGTGGAAGTTGTATAGTTCAGCCTTTGATCCTCTCACTGCTGGACGACCGCCACGTTGAGGCTAGTAAATTGTTGGTACCTTTGGTTGGGTTACAGATTTATAAATTTATTATAGTTTGCGTATAATTATAGTATTGCACGTAGAGATTGATACTAAAATCCAATGGTTGGGTTCATGGTGTCTCATGTCTCTGTGTCTCATGTCTTTGATTAAACTAATTTCAAGTCTTTATAGCCCATGGGTCTCTAAGCCCAATATTGAACATTGAAGCATTTCCGTGGTCTTTTGATACTTTCACTTAGGCCTGCGATTTTTGTCAGAACCAAATGGGCCGAACTGGACCGAACCGGTTTTTTTTCGATTTTCAGTTCGGTTCGGTTTTCAATTCGGTTCAGTTCAATATGATTTTAAAAATTAATTTAGTTTTCGGTTCGGTTTGGTTTTCGATTTTTTTTTAAAAAATAAATTATTAAAACCGCAAATAACTGAAAAATATCAGAAAATAACCGAAAATAACCAAAAATAACCTAAAAATAACCGAAATAACCAAATTTAACCAAAAATAACCGAATATTTTGGAAAAATTATACCAAAGTTAACCGAAAACTTAAAAATTCGGTTATTTTCCGGAAATAAAATTGAAAACCGAAATAACCAATAACCGAACTGAACCGAACTAAAATTTCATTCGGTTTATTTCAGAATTGTTTTTTAAAACTTTGGTTAACCGAAAACCGGCGGTTCGGTTTTGGAAAACCAAAGTTGCATGCCTACTTTTATTATAACTAAGAGCAACCCCTATAGGTTTAGTCCCGGAGTTTTCAATATATATATATATATATATATTAAATTGTAAAATTTTTAATTTTATTGGAAACTCAACTAAATTTTTTTAGGTTGAATTATCATAAAGTTAAGAATCTCACAGTTAAATACTAATATTAATATACATACACCTATATGTATTTTAAGAACTCTGAAACTTAGAGAAATTTTAAAATTTCTTTTTTTTTTGTGTTTTTGTTTTCTAATTTAAAAAAAAAATAAAAATGAATGAATTGCAGACCATCACATGTCAGTGGGATCTATAAATAATTAGGGACAACACTAAGACCATCCAAAATGGTGGCACCAAGGGAGGAGTCCTTACCAAAAAAAAAATAATTTTTTTTGAATAGTTAAGGATTCTAATTCAAAATAGTAGGTGTAATGATGTTATCCGAAACGAATTCCTTAGAAAAAAAAATATTAAAAATATAAATTTGGGAAAATTAAAATTTTTTAAAAAGATACAATAGCTTTTACTGACCATCACGAAATTTGTCCCAACAATCCCAAACCTTATTGCTCACCGGCCCAACCATCAGACGACACGTGCACGAAGGATTTCATCCTTCGGATCCTTACAGACGGACTTATCCGTACCGATCCGTCTAATTTCGAGCCCATTTCGATTTTTTTTAACTCCTAAAATGTTAAGGATTTGGGCCATGGACCCGTGACGGACCTCCGTTGATGATGGTCTAAGGACCTTTCTTATTTAAGAGACATTGGGAGAAAGTTTTTGCAAAAAAAGTGGTGGAGCCCACATCCCAAGCATTAAGGACCAGGCTTGGGACTACCAATAATGATGCTCTTAGAATATCCAATCTTCTAAGAGCTACAAAAAATCATCATTTTGCGAACAAAAACAAAAATTAATATGTAGTATCTAACAATCTATAAAACAAAATCACAACATACAAATATTTTTTTAAATGAATTATCTGATTCGATCTATTGTATATATATATATATATATATATATATATATTAAAAATTATTTATAAATTATATTTTATATAAGTCTTACATTTTTTATTTATCATATTAGTTATTTGAATTTTTAGAAGTAAATAAAGTTTTTTGTATACATACACATATATGAAGAGAAAGTTATGTTTAAATGGATAGGTTTTGAAGAGATTCATGTTTCATTCTTTCTCCTGTGTCCAAATTCTTATAGTCTTGTCCAGCGAGCCTGATGCGATCATGTTCTCTGTCGGGTGGCAAGCCACGCTTATGACAGGCTCAGTATGACCCTCAAGTTTCTGAAGCAATATCCCTGAGTACAGCTCCCACATGTATACACAATCGTCCTCAGATCCACTGACTATTCGCATTCTGTTTGTGTCGGAGAACGCAGAGAAAATGGAGTACTGAGAGTTGGCGTGGCCAGTATATTTTTTTACTTTCTTACCAGAAAAATAGTCCCATAACCTCTGTAAATTTGAGAACATTGTGGAGAGATCAGTGTGTTGATAACGAATCATGAGAATTTACATCTTCTTTAATACCCCATCGATGGAAACAAAATCAAACAACAAAAGATGTATCTTCCAAGACTATATATCCAGTATTCTTGAAATCTTGGTCAATAACAAAACTATACTAAACCTATCAGCTTTCAGAATCAAGAATTAATCTAAGTTAACACGTTCTATCCAACTCTAGAAAATGATTAATCACATAGCAAACATCAACTTTCTTAAATGGATTCAGCAAGATATGGCAATGAGCGTTACAGAAAGCAACAGATGAGGATGCATTATAAAATGTTCCATAAATCAAACACCAAAAGATGCATCTTCCAAGCTAAGATACGACCATTCAGTATTCATTAATGAAATCTTGATCAACGTCGAGAAGACTTCCCAGCATAAATTGTGACTCCAGTCACAATTTAAACATAAATATAAAAAGTAGGGTTCAATCGTGCAATTCCAAACCAACTTTTCCATCAATAACTAATGAACATCGTGTATAATTCTAGTTTCTCCCTCCCTATCATTTTAAATAATATTAAAGAAAAAAATCTTGTCACAAAACAGTTGATGTTTTTGCTATTTTAAATAGAATTTATAGTCATGTAAATTTTTTGACTAATTACAAAATATTATATTATTTTTTATTGGTTGAACTAATTTTAGGTATTCTTAAGTAAATAAGATAAATTGTATAAAATTTACTTTTGACCCCAATAAAATAAGATAATCTTAACGAAAACAATGTTGCAATCTACCAAAGCCTATATCACTATAGAGCAAACGAATAATCACATAGCAAACATCAGTTCTCTTAGATGGACTCACCAGCTTGTTATTGAGAGTTCCAACGAGGATGCAATTTCCACCGGGAGCAGGAGCGAATTTAACGAAAGAAGCAGGAGGATTCTCATCATCCATAATAGTTTTCAAACACTCCCCACTCCATGGATCCCAAATGCAACACATCCCATCATAGCTACTCGAAGCAATAAGAGACCCGTCGGGATGGAAATCTACAGCGGTGACGGGGTCACAATGCGAGGAAATAACTTTCACACACTGCCCATTTTGCACATCCCATATCCGAACAGTTTGGTCGAAGGAGCCAGATGCAATCATGTTTAACTGTGGACTGAAGTTGACGCACATGACTTTGTTAGTGTGTCCGAAAAAAGTGTTGATTAAGGAACCAGTCTCGACGTCCCATAGCTTTAGGGTTTTGTCATCGGAAGCTGAGACGAGGAACCTCGAGTCTGAGGAGAAGGCCACGTCGGAGATGCCTGACTCGTGGCCGGTGAACATTTTTGCGGCCTTGGCGATGGTATTTCTGTTGGGGTTGATAGAGTAAATGAGAATTCTCTTGGCAGCGGAGGCTGTAGCGAGGAGGCGGCCATCAGGGGAGAATTTAACGGAGGATACGGGGTGAAAGTGGGAAGCTAGGGTTTGGGAGTGAACGTAGGGGATGTAAGGTGGTGATGTTACTGATGCTTCTGAACCTTCTCCCTCCATGGGTAATAGAATCCGGAATCGAAATATTTGTTTGGGTTTTGGAAAGGAGCTCTGTGTGTGTAAGACTATCTTCATCTCACTTATATATATCTCTAATTTTTTTATAAAAAAATAGAGGAATTTTATTATAAAAAGTAGATTTTCTACAATAATGTAATTTCTCTATATTTTCTCCTAAAAATAGAGGAAATCTATTATAGAATGTGAATTTGCTAATAAATATATAATTTCTCTATATTTCCTCCTAAAAGTAGAAGAAATCTACTATATAATGGGATTTTTTTCATAAATATATAATTTCTCAACATTTCCTCATTAAAATAAAAGAAATCTATCATAGAATGTGAATTTTCTCATAAATATATAATTTCTCTATATTTCCTCCTAAAAGTAGAAGAAATCTACTATAAATGTGAATTTGTTCATAAATATACAACTTCTCTATATTTCCTCATAAAAATAAAAGAAATCTATTATAGAAAGTGAATTTGCTTCTATATATCATTTCTCTATATTTTCTCTTTAAAATTAAAAAAATTATATTATAGAATCTGAGTTTGCTCATAAATATATCATATACATCTCTATATTTCCTCCTAAAAATAGAGGAAATCTATTATAGAGAGTGATTTGCTTCTAAATATATCATTTCTCTATATTTTCTCTTTTAAATTAGGAAGCTATATTCTAGAATGTTAGTTTGACAATTTGTTCATAAATATATCATTTCTGTATATTTCCTCCAAAAATGGAAGAAATCTATTATACAAAATGTGAATTTGCTTCTAAATCTATAATTTCTTTATATCTATACTATTAAAGCAGATTCTGCCATTAGTTTTGGAGTTATTTACTATATCATGCCATTCCTATTATTATGCCTAAAATAATTAATCAGTATTAATAAAATACTTAACAAACGCATTCAATCATTAATGACCTTAAACATTTACGACTTCAAACATTTCATGT